GCGGAAGTGGGTGACGTTGGGGAGAGGGTCCGGAGCGGACCGGCCAACTGGAACGCGGGGGGTCGGAATGGGGACCCCCAGGATATAGAGGAAACGAAAAGGGGTAGAAGAGGGGAAAAGAACGCGAGAGGTGACGCGACCGCTGATTGGCTCGTTTGAATGCGACGCCGCCAGGGCCGGCGTACGCACGCACGCCCTTACGCTCCGGAGATTGCGCACGCGACTAACGGTCGGCCGGGGTTTCCGGGCAGGGCGAGGGCAGGCGGTTCTCGGGGGGGTTTTAAACGGATGATGGACAGCGCTCTGGCCAATAGGAACGAGCAATCCTGGGATGGCGTCACGAGGCTCACACCGGCCAATTCTCGTAGGAAAAGGCGGTGCCAGGGGGGCGGGGAGGTTGGAGAGCGACCAATGAGGCCCTGCCTAGCACGGACCAAGCCGTTTTTTTATATATGCAAATGAGGTGCGCGCAGGGGCCGCCCGCGACGCCGGCTCCTCAGCCCGCGGAGGGGGTGGGCGTTGGGATCGATCTACATCCTTCCCGGAGGCGCCATTTTGTGCTGGGGATGACCTGTGACCTGTGTCGCGTGTTGTGGAGACCAGTCAGGGCGGCCTCAAAGCCTTGGAAGCCTGTCCCTCCGGTGTGTGACCCCTGACCCTGGCCAGGCCGCAGTTACCCCACGTGGGAAACGTGCGCGGCGAACCCTCGCGATGCTGGAGAAAGCGGCAACGTTCCCCGGCCTCCGAGGGCACGGCCGCCCTCCTCCGGGTCTGCACCAGGACTCGCCTTCCCTGCCCCGGAAGTGGATGCGCAGTTGCCGGGACAGGGGAGCACATCCAGGCCTCAGTTAACAAAATGGTCGCAGCGGTGGAAAAGGGGGACCTGTGTTGACGCCAGGAGAGGAGGCCCAAGTGGCTTCGCTGGTTCATCAGAACATGGCGGGCGGGGTGCCCACGCCAGGGCCTCTCAGCGCAGCAGAGCCCGGCTGAAGAGACCAATGGCGACCAGGTTCCGGACAAGGAGGCAGGAAGGCCCAGAGCCACCCCCCGAGGTGCAGTCAGAAGCTGGCGGCTCGGCAGGGCCCACGTCCCCACACCTGCCCTTCAGGCTCAGCCTGCGGGGCCCAGGCCCCTCCGGCCCATTGAACAGACACGGACACCGAGGAGCTGCCAGTGACCAGCCCACCCGCCCGCCCCAGTCATGCCTGGGCAGAGGCGGTAGCTCACAAATCCCACCACGGTCACAGGATGGGGATGAGGACAATGGCTGCGGCCCTGGCTGGCATTGCTCAGTGGTTAGAGAGGCCGCCCATGCATGGAAGGGCCGTGGGTGCCATTCCCGCCAAGGGCAGGGATCTAGGTTGCAGGTCAGACCTGTGTGAGGAGGATGTGTCTCACTCACATCAGTGTGTCTATCTCAACCCCCCCTCTCTGACAAGCAATGGGAAAAATATCCTCAGGTGAAGATTAACAACAAGAATAATCTATAATAGTAAAAGTGTAATATGCAAATCGGTCGAGTGGCAGAACAGCAGAACAACCGTCCAGACGACCTTATGGGGGACCATGCTATGACACACACTGGCACCAGCCCAGCCAAGGCAGGTGCTGTGCAATTGGTCGGGGGCCCTGCCATCGCCCCAGGATGGTCCTGTAGAGGGAGGCCCAGGCCAGCCCTGATAGGCCCTGATTGCCAGCCAGGCCTAGGGACCCTACCTGAGGGGTCCAAGATTGTGAGAGGGCGCAGGCCGAGCTGAAGGACCCTCCCATCCCCGTGCACATATTTCATGCACCAGGCCTCTAGTATAATAATAATTGACTGTATGTTTGCCATGTGCCAAGTCTCTTCTAATTCCTTGGCGTGCTTGATCTGCAGCATCCTGTCAGGCACGTTTTTTATGATTCCCCTCTGGACATCTGCATTCATTCAAAAAAGGTTATTTTTTTAATATATTAATTTTAAAAATATATTCCAGGGATGGAGCCTGCAACACGGGCATGTGCCCTGACCGGGAATCGAACCGCAACCTCCTGGTTCCTAGAACGATGCTCACCCACTGAGCCACGCTGGCAGGGTGATACACTTTCTTTGAGCACCTGTCGGACGCTGTGGGGATATGGCAGAAAGCCAATGAAGCTGCATCATGGCGAGGGAGCCAGGCAGGGAGCAAGTAAGAACATACCGTCATGTGGGCGAGTGGTAAGGATTGAAGGATTATAGGGTCAGGGGAGCGGGGAAGGGGCGCTATTTGAGCTTGGCCAGCAGAGAAGGCCTCTCTGAGAAAGGCCTTGTGGGCTACAGGACGGTCTATGGGAAAAGCATTTTGACAAGAGGGCCCAGCAGGTGCAACGGCCCGGGAGAGGATCCTGCGTGGTGTGTTTGGGGCAACACCACGAAGCCAGCGAGGCAGGGTCAGAGTGAGCTGGGCAGGTACAGGGCCCCGAGGTCCGAGAGGGGCGGGGGAGCAGCAGTGAAGGTCACGTGCCTGGGCTGCGGTGAGCAGTATGTCCTTTTCTTCCAAGCGCTGGGGAGCCATGGAGGTTTGACAGTGTGACTCCACCTGACTTTTCAGGCAGGAACAGAGAAGCCAGTGATGTGAGAGAGCAATTTGTTGAGAGGCCTGGCCAGTGTGGCTCAGTAGTTCAGCATCGACCTAGGAACCAGGAAGTCACAGTTTGATTCCCGGTCAGGGCATATGTCTGGGTTTTCGGCTCAATTCCCACTGGGGTGTGTGCAGGAGGCAGCCAATGAATGATTCTCTTTAATCATTGATGTTTCTTTCTCTCTCCCTTCCTCTATGAAATCAATTTTAAAGTATTTTAAAAAACAACACAGTAAGGCCCTGGCTGGGTAGCTCGGTAGATTAGAGCGCTGTCTGGATGCACCAAGGTTTCGGGTTTGATCCCCGGTCAGGGCACATGCAAGAATCAACCAAAGAATGCGTTTATAAGTGGAACAACAAATTGAGCTCTCTTTAAAAAAATGAAAGATAAGTGTTGGGAGGACGTGGAAGAACTGGAACCCACACACACAGCTGGTTTGAAAAAGAGCCTGCGGGTTCCTCAAATGGCTAAGCAGTCACCGCCTGGTCCAGCAGTCCCGCCGGCAGGGATGTGTCCTGGAGAGATGAGCTCAGGGGGGTGGGCACGGAGGGCCAGGCTCTGCAGGCCGAGGGGGGAGCTCACCGGAGCCCCAGGGAGCCAGGGAGGGGTTCTGACCTGGAGGTGTGAGTGGATGTGCTGCTCACAGTGAGACCCCAGCTCTGGCTGCTGGGCCCAGCCTGGACCGGGGGCCCAGGAAGAGGCAGCTGGTTGAGGCTTAGGCTATGCTGGTGGCCATGGTGGCTGGAGAGGAGGGAGGGCGTCTGGGAACTGCTCCGTGGTGGGCCTTCTGAGTGGGTTTGGGGGACTGGAATTGACCGGGGTGGGGCGAGATGGGGAGGGGAAGGGGGCTGAATATCAGCGACTCAGAGTCTTACTTTTGTGCAATGAAACCCAGTTGCCCCAGCGGCTGGAATGCTAGCTTCAGAAATTAGTCTTCACATCTTCTGTTCATCTGTGTGAAATTACAAAGAAGGACATGCCTGGAGGGGAAGTCCCGCCCCCGTCACTGAAGAGCCAGAAGAGAAAGGGGGAGTTTGGGCTCCAGTCCTCCTCAGCCCTTGGCCCGCGCGCCCCCAGGTGCCCGCCGGCCGGAACATCTGGACAATTACACAGGCCCCTCTGTCCGCATCCCCACGCGCTGCCTCGGTGCGTGCAGATGAGCAGCTGAGCGGCTCCACAGGAATGCGCCCCGCTTTCTGGCATTCTCTCCCCGGCCTCCCGCCAGCCCTGGGTGCGGCTGGAGGCTGGCAGCACGCCAGAGCGTTGGTCTCCTGCACAGCTGTGAGCTTTTCCAGAGGAGAGATTCCTAGAAGTGGAATCGGGATCAGAGAGTCTGTGGTTCTGTGAGCAGCCCTTGGCAGGGTTCTGCTGATTTGCATAACCTGCCACGGGCGCCCACGGCCTCAGACGGTCAGTGTAAGCCTGGGACCGTCCCAGGGAGAGAAGGGATGACATCAAAAGATGTTCATTATGATCAGAATTGAAGCAGGGTCGGGGGTGTGGGGACGCTGGGGGAGAGGACTGTAGCTGGGCGGCCAGGGTGGACTGTCATCAGGAGGCATGAATCAAGATATAAAGGAAGCCAGTGGTTGAGCGTCAGCCTGTGACCAGGAGGTCGAGGTTCAGTTCCCGGTCAGGCCACATGCCAGGGTTGCGGGCTGGATCCCCAGTAGGGGGCGTGCAGGAGGCAGCTGAACAATGATTCTCTCTCATCATTGATGCTTCTTTCTCTCCATTCCTCTCTGAAATCAATAAAAAATATATATATTTTAAAGTGGAATAACAAGTTGATGTTTTTTTCTCCCTCTAAAAAATATCAAAAACTGATGTTATAAAAAATATGTATAATGTTT